TCTCAAAGGGCTGCCTCTTCATGAGAAAGCATGTACGGATGTTCGCAGTTTCCCACTATAAAAAAGCATTTGCACTACAGGGGGAAAATTGTTTATGATATGTGTATTGGCTTCCTGTTTGCAAATAAAACATTTCACTATTCAAATATTTATTGTAGTAAAATATAATAAATGTTCAAGGTAACGTGGCACATGCTTAATGCAGGATTAATCCAATGATTAATAGTTAAAAACAATCTAAACCTTGTATACACTGGATGAAATACATTTTCCCATAAAGTATTCCAATTACCCTGGAGCCATGATTCACGAGCACCTGTGAAATATTTTTTTGTTATCAGTAGACTAATAAATGAGTATTTTTAAGTTACAATTAGGACCAATAAATGAGTTTTTTATACTACTGTTCAGTCAAATTGTATTAAATATGTAGATCATGCTGATGTGATGTACAATCAATATTCAGTGTTTTTAACATTCACATGACAAATTTATAATTTACATATAGGAAGAATGTTGCAACTCTCATATTAACATCAGTGTGTAAGTGTACATACTCCTATACATATAGTACCACCATTAAATAGTAAAAGATAAATAATTGAGTGATGTATACAAAAATACTGTTCAAAGTAAAAAAAATAACTTTCTCACAAACTACTGCACTTAAATTTCTGCTATTATGCTAGTGAGTTTCATTTTTGTATTATAATTAAAAAATATGCACTTAAAACTGAAATAGATCATATATGCACTGCCAATGAGTTCATAAAAAAAAAAATAAAATAAAAACTAAAATATAAAAAATCATGTAAGATGTTTAGTTTAGCTTCAATACAACTTAAAACAAAATCTTTGCAACTATTGATTATTTCACTTAATTACAGGAAGAAATACTGATTGCTCTTGCTGTTTTGCAGTTTCATTTCATGCAGTGCAACTTTTTCTGGCCAGTATTTCACTTCATGTCGGAGTAAATTCACTGCATATAAATAACTTCTGATTAAATCTAGATATATATAGTTCATTAACTGTAAAATGTTTAGCTATCAGAAGTTTGTGGCCCAGCCTGGACCCATGATGTGCCTTTGCTATCCTTTGACTACTGTCTACACCATGGGTATTGATAGGTTGCATAATAAAAATATTAAATTATGGATTATTCACCCAAGTCAGCATCACTGGTGTCCCTAACCAATTCCCTTAAAATATGGTTAAAAACATCAGTTGTAACTGTTTTTATACTGAATATTTATAAGAAATACAAGAGTAATAGAAAGAAAACAGATTTTTGCATGGAGAATTCCATCTTGAGAAAATACTGACTGGTTCTTAATTTAAGTGTTTTGTGCCAAGTATTAAAAAAAAGAAAAAAGGACACCTGGTCCTGGCAAAGTTGGGATATACTGACACAAAGTTGTGGATAAATTATTATTATAATCAAAAAGAAGCGCTAAACCACTAGGGCTATACAGCGCTGCAAAGCAGGAAGGAAGCGGGGGTATCAGGTGACAAAAGGGAGAGGGATAAATTGTAGGTTTACAGTGAACAGCAGGGCAGAGGATAGTACAGTGGACCCCGGTTCGCGATGCTATCGGTATAATCTGATAAATCCAGTAACCGATGCATTATATCGCTTAAAATTTGCCTCACTTCCCGATACAAAAACCGGTATCGAGGTAGGTTCGTACGAGATGTGATCATGTGTGGCCGACCGCCCGTGTGTGACAGTGTGTACAAGCCAGACAGTGTGGCGCGCATCTAAGGATACATTTCGGTACTTCCTACTTATCTATATTATCACGTTTTTGGTGCCTGTTTTTGCAAATTAAGTACCATCGGGCCCCAAGTAAGCTCCCAGTGCCATCCCTTCGAGGACCTAGGGTGCTAAGTCTGTTGAAATGAAAAGAGATAATTGCAACGTACGAATGTGGAGTGCGTGTGTCGGAAGCTGGTCAGGTTTGTATAGTAAACACCAATCAACCATCTTACTTTAGTGAGCAAGAATACGGCACTCAAGGAAGCTGTTCTTGCAAAAGGTGCAATGTGATTACGAAACAGCGACTCAAGTGTTAGAAAATGTTGTAAGATGTTATTGGTGTGGTTAATGAAAAACAGATAGCAGGAGATAGCTCTCTCAAGCAATATTTGTGGAATACGGCTAGGGCAGTTGCATGATGATGTGGTAAAAAAAACTGCTGCAACTAAGTGGTGATTGAGTGAATTTAGGCCCGCAAAAGGTTTGGTTTGAAAGATTAAAGAATCGTAGTGGCAGACATTAGTGTATTAGGCATGGTGAGGCTCGCCAGTTATGTGTGCGACAGGGTCCAGTGACTCTCAAAGCGGTCCTAGTGGCATTAAAAGAGAAGTGATAGTAACCCCAGAAAAGGACTTGCTACATCAAGTCCTTAATGGAAGGGGGATGACCCCTTACTAATTGCTAACACCATCCACACTCTCCCCTCCTCCAATACATCAATCATCACCAGATCTTCATTATAGGCAAGTGTCAATTATCTTTCGTTTTGTACGTTATTTATTGTTTTGTATATTACTATTCTATTGCATTAAACTTAATATTTATGTGGTAAAGTTTTTTTTTTATACTTTTGGGTGTTTGACCGGATTAATTTCATTTCCATATTTTCTTACGTGGAAAATTGATTCGCTTTCCGATATTTTTTGGTTACGATGAGCTATCAGGAACGGATGTATAGCGAACACAGGGGTCCACTGGATAGGGGTAGAGGGTAGCAAGGAGATTGAGGTAGAAAGGGCTGACGGGAGTGCAAAAGGTTTCTACCTCAGAGTTGTGGAGTAAGTCAGTTGTAAAGTTGGGATAGAGATGGAGGAATTTAGTAGAAGGAAAAATTTTTCACATGTTCATAAGTGACTACACAAAGGGATCAGCCTGGTGAGAGGGAAGATTACTTAATCATAACCAGCGCTAAACCCCTAGGGTCAGTGGGAGAAGGTAAAATAGAGGATTTATTCTGCAATTTGAATTTGTTTTATTTTGGCCATTGGTTTTTTTTTTTTTTTTCTTTGGAAAGGTTACAGTATTATTTGTGATATCTGATATTGTTACCTAATAATTGTTGAATTTTTTCCCCAAATTTTGCATTTTTCATTGTAATGATTTAATCTGGATATCCCCCCCCCCCCCACCTCAGCAATCTATATTACAATCGAGGTGTAAGTGCAAAACCCATAAGATATAAAAACACACAGGGAATGGGAGGCTACCAGGTTGTGTCCAAGTGGAAGAATGCATCCACTTCCTGGATCAAAAAGCCCCAACACAGGCCATTAAGGTTTTTTTCTGTCTTTCTCTTGTTTTTGACCACAATTCATTTCCTATTGTTTTGTGTATGTGGACAGTTTTCTGAATGTGTGATAAACTTTTTTTTTTTTTTTTTTTTTAGTAAAACATTAGTAAGAAATATGAAAGTGATTAAGGTTTAGAATGACTCTTCACGTTAGTCCTATAATTGACATGTTTTACTGGTTCATATTTATAGGCCTAGGATGAATCTGTTGCATGAGTAAGGGACACCCTAGATAGGACAAAAGTAATGAGGAAAAAATCATGGGAAATACCTTTTTACCAAATACAGTACATGTATTTGTAGGACAAAATGCCAATTTTTGTGAGCCATATTTGACTTTCTTTAAGATCTACATGTATAGGTGAATAAAAGAGGCATTATATAAACTGTATTCAAAGTTAAGCCTTAAATATTTTAAATGTGTAATTTATCTTTAGAGTTAACATTTATTCCATTAACAATATTAGCAAAAGAGCCTAATAACACAAAACAATCTACTGCCTCTTACTACTTGTCTAGGCCCCCCCCCGGAAAATCATCCCAACCAAAAAATATATTCAAGAATTTACTATAAGCAAACATCTTGGTATGTGATTTTGATTTAATGACTGCTTCCTTTTTAATAAGCAATATTAATCAACCTCCTCCTCTTCATTATCCTTTAATTACAGTCTGAGGCAATTAGAAAAGTGCAGCTTGATAATTGTGACATCAAAAGCAGGCCAACTTAATATAGACAATCTTCTTAAATATAATGTATTATGAATGAAAGATGTTTTATCCTAAGTTGAGATTTCAGTAAAAGTTTGCCCCCCCCCCCCCGAAAAAAAAAATCCTACAACAGTCAATATAGATTCAGAATTGTTACAGCCTTATGCCCATCAAGAAGAATGGAATCATTCTACAGTGTTCCCCCATATCCGTGGGGGATATGTTCCAAGACATACAAGTCATTTTTTGCTTACATACATACCTATGATAAAGTTTAATTGATAAATTAAGCAAAATAAGTCTAAGATTAGAACTGTTTCACTGATGGGAAACTCCATGGCTTCTCTTAGGCTCTGAAGAACTGCCAGCATCACAATTTTGTGCTCTGAGGGACCATTATTAAGCAAAATTAATGGTTATTTTTTGAGCCACAATAAACCGTGGATAACTGAAACCACTTATACTGAATCCATGGATATGGGGGTCCTATTATATTTACCTTTTTAGCATCAAAATAGAGGTTATATTATTATTATAATAAAAAACCAAGTGCTAAGTCCACTAGGGTCAATATAGGTTATAAATTTCAGTTTCTCTAACAATTATAACATGTTCACAAAAGATCCATTAGATAAGAGATTATGGCAATATACAATTTTTATTGCAACTGGACAAGTATGCTTTTTGTTATCTAATTTTTTTTTTAGTAATATTGACAAAAGACCTACATATATTTAAAAAAATGAAAATTAATATTAAATAAGAATGGAAATGAAACCTTGGATAATACTGAATTTGTGGATTATTAATATTACAATATCACCCTTTCCCAAAATGATGGCATTTATTCATCTCCACTTTAAAACAAATAAAAATAAAAATAAGCCAATTTACAAAAAAAAGTGAGGATATTGATGTTAGCTTATATTGCTGTAATGGCTGAATGTTTGAAAATTATACTAAGCTGGTTAACAAAAATCACCTTACCTGCATTACTTTTGTCAATACAGTATAAGATATGAATCTAACACAGATATTACTAATATCAAATGATGTAAATTAAACTTAAAAAAATACAAGATGAACTACAATCATCACAACACTAAGACTGTGATTGCATCAAGAGCCTTTATCTCAAAAATTATATGCAAGTTTAAGGAAAAACATATTGCAATACAGGTATTTATTTAAAGTTTAATTTAAGCGCAGGCAAGCTACAAGTAAATTTTTAATAATGAAGCATTATTAAGCACGTCTGATACAGAAAAGTAATGCTCGTTTATTACCAATCATAGTTAAGGATGCTAAATTATTTGGGGATGAAAGCAGATAATCATGCAGAGGCTAACTTCTGGAGTTGATCATCTCAGGTCTCTTGATGAAAGAGTCGAGCAATTTGAAACTCCCGTCAAGATTCAATTTGGACTAAAAGAGAATTGGGGACAACAGATAAATACAACATTGCAGTGTATAAAAAATGTTGTGGGGGGTAAAAATAATAATAATAATAATAAAAATACATGCTTAAAAAATATTGAAATTGAATTAGTGTACCATAAAACCAAATAAACAAGGAAGAATAATCAAGTGAAACTAAAAACTTTACTGTAACCCCAAATGAAAACGATTAAATATATCAGTCCTTAAAGTTTCAGAATTTCTATACCTGCCTGTACACAACCCTAATGCAAAAATAATTCTATAACCAAATACACAGTAAATGTACACTAACACTCCATGGATATAGCAGTAACTACTGAACAATAATAATCAATATGAAAATATACAACTTGAAGGGAAGAATAACAATCATGCTCAATTAAAAACTGGCTAAAGTATAATAACTCTCATGCTGATAATTTTTTCAAGTAGATGTAATACAGGGCATGTCAGGTTGTTTAAAACAAATATTAAGCACATTCTAGGAAGAATAATGCACTTAATTAGTAAATTCAAGCTATGCTTTGTAATTGTTACAGTAATAATTTTATAGTTATGACTGGTACATTCAACACTTTCCTAGGCTTAGAAAATACCTAGCAGTTACTGATGGTGGGCATCTGAAATTGTGAACATTTTTAAAAAATAATGAAAGTTGTAGAAAGGCACTTATGTTTGACTGGTAAAGTCAGTAACCCGTACTAGAATGAAAACATACCACCTATAAAGCTGAAACAACAATTATTTTATTAAAATAAATTGTGAGGAAATTCAGGGCCTGGATAGGAAATACATTTACTCTACCAGATGTAGAAATTACAGCCAATTTACTATGTAGTTACTTATTTAGAAGAAACTAAGAAAGAATCCTTTCTCTCCTGATGAAGATTACAACATGTATCTTTTGTTTCTCCTCATAAGGATATCCTGTAATACTGAAATAACACTGGCAGGATATTTAAAAGTCTTATTTTCTTTGCAATTACTTGTCAAATTTCTTAAATATGCATTTTCCTAAAAGTATAACACTATAGACAAAACACTTTTGACATTTAACTTTTTTTTTTTATGGGTGGGGGGGGGGGGGGAGATTTGTTTCTTATCTAAATAATAGCTATTATTAAATAATTTAAGTGTAACATACTAAAATAATCAAAATGCAAGTCATGATACAAAAAGCACATGTAAGCAATGTGCTTGCCATCCAGATGACTGTGGAAAAAGAAAGATTAATAAGGTGAAGCACACATTCTGTGGAGGACAGGATGTGCTTGCTTCTGGCAAAAAAATATACAGTATTGCAACACCTATTATGACATGTGAATAATGTATTTCTAACTGTAATTATTTTTATTTACTGAATAATAGCTAGTCTTATTTCCATTTTTCATGTTCATCTGGTGAAAGAGCCAGATTTACAAGGTAGTCTTTATCTTTATTTTTATAGAATGGTACTTGGATAACCAAGTAACCACGTCAGGATCAACTTCAACTTGCTGCATCCAAATTTCCAATCAACTGGGATCCAGATAAGTTGTATTTCAGTCCAGAACATGACCTTTCTCCATTAATTTTCATTATCATCACTATTCAATTTCTTTTGGTGATGTCTAATTTTATCTTTCTTTAAAATAATTTTTTCGTCATATTTTCATAATACTTATATATTCCCATGTCCCATTCACAATGCCAAGAGTCAAAACATACACATATGAAGGAAACACTATTTACTATAATGAGCAAACATTATTATTATATAAGTGTACAGTACTTCAGTTACTTTTTTAATGAAATCTGAAGTTTGGCAAAATCCAGAGACTTAAGATGCACAGTAACAAAATATACTTTTACCATTTAACACGAGGTAAATGCAGTAGCACAGTATTTAACACAAGGTAAATGCAGTAGTACAGTATTTGCAGTTTGATGATTTCCAACACCAATATGTATCGAGAGATTATTGTATGCAGAAAAATCACAGAACATTATAAATGTACAAACCACTGACTGAATGAATGGGTCATCCCGCCTTGAAGAAACATGATGTTGACAAAAAATATGTATGTACATTCATGTCCTGTATTCAAAATATATGATTCATTGGCTTCCACTTACAAAGTAGAGTACTATATTCCAAGTTACAGATAATACAGTTGTTTAAGGATAACGAACTGGAAGGTACTGTCTACAGCCATGATTTGCATAGACGACTGAACCACTGATTTCCTAAACAACTGATAATATTTTGTTATCAAATTTTAGGAGCAGATCCCATACTGATAATCAGCTCTAATTATGTAAGTGATATGTCCTCACTGAACTAACAGTAACCCATATTTATATGCAGTACATAAACAGAACAGAAATACTTTATAAGTAAAATTAGGAGACCAAATATTATGACGCAGTGCAGTTTCTTAAGAATAAACCTGTTTGAAGTAATCTTGAGTATTTTGATTTTTTCAAAAGAAAAAATTCAACTGCCAATTTTAAGTTTGCTACTGTAAAGTAATAAGCCAGAGTACAAATATATAACAATGTCTAATCAGCTGCAATTTTATAACAATAATATAGTTGGAAAACTAATTCTAGATAACAGAATAACAATAAATGAAAAGTGAATCTGAACATATTCTATTATCATACATCTTATCTCATCCAAACAATTTACATTTTCATTTATCTTAGTTTAATTATCCAGCAGGCATTCATTGTACTAAGAATGTTAAAGATGATCATTCTAGGATTAAATATTTTTAATTAAGGACCTAAAAGAAAGTATTTGGTTATTCAAATGATCCTAATTTTTTGTTAAAGATAAAAAATTAGAATAAAATTAATAAAATGTCTTAAACAAAATGAAATGGCTGTGGGTAACAGTGTAAGATCATTCATGTTGAGGAAAATGTGCAAAAATGTTCAAAAATGTAGAAACGTACATTAAAAAAAAGTGAGGGTGAAGGAAATACAGTCGTGGAGGAAAAGGTAGAGTTATGGGTAGTAGTAGTTATGGAAAGGAAGAGTTGTGGGGAGAAGAAACTTATGGGGAGAAGTATGAAGGAGGAGGAGTTGTGGAGAGGAGTGCTGAGAAGGATAATGTACAATCTATATTTAAGAACTAAGAGAACACCTAAAAGTTAAATGTCATTCACAATACAACAAGACAGAGTACTGTACCAAAGAACTACTACAACCATTTTATTCCTTTTAGAGCTATGGTATTATTAATAAAATCAAAAGGCATTGCTTTTGCTTCACTTCCTGAATGCCTTTAAGGTATCGAGTTCATTAAGTGGTTAAGCTGTAAGATAATCTCCAATAGTCATATGCTGTTTTAGAAGTAGGCATTTAGGCTTCTTTGGTGGACCAACTATACAATTAGCATCAAAATAGTTCAAGAATTTCTTCATCAACGTACAACTACCTTAAATAATGTGAAGTTACTACAACATACAACTATTATAAAATTTTAGGGTACAGAAAGACTAATTCTAATCAAATCTAACTCTTCCAATTGAGTTCTCTGGTGAAAGTCACCACAACCTGGAAATTCTATTCTTTTGAGCATTATTCCATAGTAATTAAATATTAATTCTGCTTAGTATGCAATAGGATATTGTATACTACAAGTGTTTTTTTTGGGGGGGCCATATTGTAAACACATATTTAGCTTGCTCAATCTTTCATGCAAAGATAACTTGGCCTTAAGAACAATATAATTATTACAAAAAACTACAAACTTAATCACAAAAGAGTTCAATGTGACAATGCCTACATGAGGAAGTCCTGCTCCAGGCCTAATGCATCAAGGATCACACCCATTGGAGTGCGCTTGAGCCCCAGATACTCAACCTTATTCATCAGCTTATTCTTCAGGTTGCGGAGTCTCATGGAAGCGTGCACAAAGATCACTGAGAAAATAAGAAGAAAACATTAGACTGAGCAAAATATACTGACCTTCAACAATTTAACATTATATATTTATAGCTTATCTTGAAACTATTAGATGATAAAGGTAAAATCTAATTGTATTTGGGCAATATCAAAATACAAAGCAGTTTATTAATTTTTTTTTTTAACAAACAGGCCGTATCCCACCGTGGCAGGGTGGCCCAAAAAGAAAAACGAAAGTTTCTCTTTTCAAATTTAGTAATTTATACGGGAGAAGGGGTTACTAGCCCCTTGCTCCTGGCATTTTAGTCGCCTCTTACAACATGCATGGCTTACGGAGGAAGAATTCTGTTCCACTTCCCCATGGAGATAAGAGGAAATAAACAAGAACAAGAACTAGAAAGAAAATAGCAGAAAACCCAGAGGGGTGTATGTACATATATGCTTGTACATGTATGTGTAGTGTGACCCAAGTGTAAGTAGAAGTAGCAAGACATATCTGAAATCTTGCAAGTTCATGAGACAGAAAAAAGGACACCAGCAATCCTACCATCATGTAAAACAATTACAGGCTTTCGTTTTACACTCACTTGGCAGGACGGTAGTACCTCCCTGGGCGGTTGCTGTCTACCAACCTACTACCTCGTAGTTTATTAAATACCCTAATAAAATGCCCCCTCCCTCATTTCTAAGAGGCTTGCAAATCAGTGGACAGACACATACCCTCCTTGATTTTTGCTCCACTGAGCGTTGAAAATTTACCACCAGGGCACTTAACCCTTTCAGGGTTTCAGACATACTAGTATAGAAAGGGGTTTAGTTATAGGTAATACATATTTTAAGAAAAAGAGGATAAATAATGTATACAAGATATGATGTAGGGTGAAATGACAGTAGTTTGTTGGATTATGTACTGGTAGATAAAAGACTGTTGAGTAGACTTCAGGATGTACATGTTTATAGAGGGGCCACAGTGGACCCCCGGTTAACGATATTTTTTACCAGTAAAAGTAGGTCTTAGACAAGGATGCGTGATGTCACCGTGGTTGTTTAATATATTTATAGATGGGGTTGTAAGAGAAGTAAATGCGAGGGTCTTGGCAAGAGGCGTGGAGTTAAAGATAAAGAATCACACACAAAGTGGGAGTTGTCACAGCTGCTCTTTGCTGATGACACTGTCCTCTTGGGAGATTCTGAAGAGAAGTTGCAGAGATTGGTGGATGAATTTGGTAGGGTGTGCAAAAGAAGAAAATTAAGGTGAATACAGGAAAGAGTAAGGTTATGAGGATAACAAAAGATTAGGTGATGAAAGATTGAATATCAGATTGGAGGGGAGGAGTATGGAGGAGGTGAATGTATTCAGATATTTGGGAGTGGACGTGTCAGCGGATGGGTCTATGAAAGATGAGGTGAATCATAGAATTGATGAGGGGAAAAGAGTGAGTGGTGCACTTAGGAGTCTGTGGAGACAAAGAACTTTGTCCTTGGAGGCAAAGAGGGGAATGTATGAGGAGTATAGTTTTACCAACGCTCTTATATGGGTGTGAAGCTGGGTGATGAATGTTGCAGCGAGGAGAAGGCTGGAGGCAGTGGAGATGTCATGTACTGAGGGCAATGTGTGGTGTGAATATAATGCAGAGAATTCGTAGTTTGGAAGTTAGGAGGAGGTGCGGGATTACCAAAACTGTTGTCCAGAGGGCTGAGGAAGGGTTGTTGAGGTGGTTCGGACATGTAGAGAGAATGGAGCGAAACAGAATGACTTCAAGAGTGTATCAGTCTGTAGTGGAAGGAAGGCGGGGTAGGGGTCGGCCTAGGAAGGGTTGGAGGGAGGGGGAAATAAGGAGGTTTTGTGTGCGAGGGGCTTGGATTTCCCAGCAGGCATGCGTGAGCGTGTTTGTTAGGAGTGAATGGAGACAAATGATTTTTAATACTTGACCGTGCTGTTGGAGTGTGAGCAAAGTAACTTTATGAAGGGATTCGGGGAAACCGGCGGGCCGGACATGAGTCCTGGAGATGGGAAGTACAGTGCTGCACTCTGAAGAAGGGGTGTTAATGTTGCAGTTTAACCCTTTCGGGTCCGCCCGTAGATCTATGGCTTTACGTTCGGGTCCAAACCGTAGATCTACCCATGAGCTCAGCTCACTCTGATAACTGTGAGTGGTACATTTGGGCCTAGTATGAGAGAATACATCTATGTGGTATGTGTCCCACCACATAAAACAGATCCTGCAGCACACTGTGTATAATGAGAGAAAAAAAATGAAATCATGATTTTTCGATTAAAACAGCAACTTTTGCAGTGTTTTTTCGTATGTTTTTTATAGTTGTATTTGCGATTTCTTGGTCTCATTTGATAGAATGGAAGACTATTACAGAAATAGAGATGATTTTGATTGGTTTAGCACTGAAATGGCTTGAAACTGAGCTAAAAGTAGCAGAAATGTTAAATTTTTGCCGATATTCAAGAGTAAACAAACGACCCTCACCGTCTAATACACGTCAGCTGGTGGGTCTATTATTTTATTCACAAATATGGTGATGAAAATTTATACAATTATTACAGTATTACATAACAGTAAATCTTCTATTTTTTGGTGTGAATAAAAATTATTATGTGAATAAAAATCAAAATGGAATTTATTTGTAAAGCCTCAAAACATAACAAAATTTGAACAGAGGAAATGTTAGTTTAGTGCCAGGAATGCCTACATTGTTCATTCTGGACCCTATTTTGAAATTGGAAATATTTGAACTTTGTGTTAAATTGGCCAAATTAACAATTTCCGATGCTTTATTTTGTAGTTGAAACAGTTGACTTGGCGAAATTTTTTGTGCTCAATCGATAGAATAGAAGTAATACTAGTGAAAATAGCTAAGAATTTGGTTGATTGGGAATAATGTAATTGGCCCTAAAATGGGAGTCAAAGTCGGCAAAATCGCCGATTCGTAAATATCACTGACACATCAATATTCGCGAGAGCATAATTTCGTCAATTTTCCACCAAATTTCGTACTTTTTGTTTTATTACCTTCACAAAAAGATTCTCTACAATTTCATAAGAAAAAATAACAAATTTTTTTTTTTGAAAATTCTTGGACACTGGTGCGTGACTCCAGATTTGGGCCTTGGACCCTGAAAGGGTTAAAAACTGTAATGTAAAGCACCCTTCTGGCAAGACAGTGATGGAGTGAATGATGGTGAAAGTTTTTCTTTTTTGGGCCACCCTGCCTTGGTGGGAATCGGCCTGTGTTAATAAATAAAAAAATAGTACGGCTTACGCACCAGGGTTTTTGACGTACTAGTACGCCTAAATTCTAGCGCCCTCAAATCTAGCGAGAGAAAGCTGGTAGGCCTACATATGAAAGACTGGGTCTATGTGGTTAGTGTGCACAGTATAAAAAAAATCCTGCAGCACACAGTGCGTAATGAGAAAAAAAAACTTTGACTGTGTTTTTGGATTAAAATCTCGACTTTGCACTGTATTTTCGTATGGTATTTATTGTTGTATTCTAGTTTTTCTGGTCTCATTTTATAGAATGGAAGACATATTACAGAAATTGAGATGATTTTGACTGGTTTTACAATGAAAAGTACCTTGAAATTGAGCCCAAAGTAGCAGAAATGTTCGATTTTTACCAAAGTTCAAAAGTAAACAAATCATGCTATGCGTCCAATATACGTCAACTGGTGAGTCTAATATTCTTTCACAAGTGCGCTGATATTATCTATACCATTTCTACACTAATGTAGTAGTCTGCATAACAGTAAATCTCCTATTTTTTTGTGAGAATAAAAATTAAAAGTGGAAAACAAAAGAATCTAAGAGGGGCATGGGGACGTGACTAATGAACAGAGGAAATGTTATTTTAGTGCCAGGAATGTCTTTCTTGTTTATTCTGGACCCTATTCGGAAATTGACATCTTTTGAAATTTGTGTGAAATTGGCAAAATTGCTATATTGACCACTGTATTGGATAGTTGAAATCGGTAAATGAGTGGTTTCTTGTACTCATTTGATAGAAAAAAATAGAGTTCTAGTGAAATAGTTACGATTTTTGTCGACTAGTACACTGGAATTGGCCGAAAATAGGGCTCAAAGTGGGCAAAATCTTTGATGTGTAAACATTGCCGAGACCGCTAACTTCGCGAGAGCATAATTCCATAAGTTTTCCATCAAATTTCATACTTTTGGTGTCATGATGATCGGGAAAACATTCTCTATCTTTTCATAAGAAAAAAAATTTTTTTTTTTTTTTTTTGAAATTTGGGCGACCCTGAGAACAAGTCTGGGAGAGAGCCTGTTGTCCCTGAAAGGGTTAAAGGCTGCAACTGTTTTATCGAATGCTGTAAAAAAATTTCATAGGCCTAGTTTGCTATGTAAAGGTGGTAGAAAAATTGTTTGAGTCAAAGTGTAGAGGATATTGAACTTTTTTTTTTTTTTTTTTTTTTTTTTTTTTTGCTCCAGTTTTCATTGAGTGTTGGAGTGGCCAAGCCCTCTTTGTGTAATAAGCAGTCCTCACCCGACTATACCATTCACACAGAAAACAGCAATGCACTATTTAGTGTAGTCTAGTGGCAGTCTAGGCAAGGTAGAAGCAACTTTCAAGTCACCACAAAGTTGCCACCAGTGCTTATCACGGCTTATTCAGTTCAAAATCTGCTTTGTGTTATCATATTTCTTTCAAGTGGACTGCATAAGAAACTTGACAGCAGCATTTTGCCAATATGCAATAACACAGTCTTTTTTTTTTTTTTTTTTTTTTTTTTTAAGACTAACTTTGAAGAATCAATGAATGGTCTCCACTCATCATGAGTATGAATAATATTTAGGGCTACCATCAGACCATCAATGACACTGAAGGCTACAAGGTCACTTTCTATAATGAAGAATGAGACTAAATCTTTTTGGTCACAAAACTTACTCTAACATTCTCAGTGAGGAGATTCCATTGCTGCAATCTAGAGTAAAACAGTTCAGACACTAAAAATCCAGCCTGAAGCATTCCTCTTCTTCTTTCAACACACCGGCAATATCCCACAGAGGCAGGGTGGACCAAAAGGAAAAATAAAAATTTCTCCTTTTAAATTTAGTAATATATACAGGAGAAACGGCTACCAGCCCCTTGCGTCTGGCATTTTAGTCACCTCTTATGACATGCATGGCTTACACAGGAAGAATTTTGTTCCACTTCCCCATGGAGATAAGAGAAAATGAACAAAAACAAGAAATAGTAAGAAAATAGAAGAAAACCCAGAGGGGTGGTGTGTTATATATATGCTTGTACATGTATGTGTAGTGTGACCTAAGTGTAAGTAGAAGTAGCAAGATGTACCTGAAATCTTGCATGTTTAAGAGACAGAAAAAAGACACCAGCAATCCTACCATCATGTAAAACAATTACAGGCTTTCATTTTACACTTGCATGGCAGGACAGTAGTACCTCCCTGGGCGGTTGCTGTCTAACAACCTACTACCTAGGAGCCTGAGGCATATCTTTACAAATAAGAGCCAATTTGCAATTTTAGCATCCTTTCTATACTCAGTGATCTAAAGTTTGTAAAGAATGACTAGTTTTATTTCTGAAGCATTTTGCCTCTAGACCAGTGACTGGACAAGTATACAGTAAGTCCTCACTAAACGTCAGATAAGATGAGATTTCTTTCAGATTTTTAACTCCACAAGGTTAGCCACCCAGGATAACCCAAGAATGGGAGTGCGTCATCGAGGACTGTCTGTCTTATTTCCACTGGGGTCCTCAATCTTGTCCTCCAGGATGCAACCCACACCAGTCGACTAACACCCAAGTACCTACTTGCTGCTAGGTTAACAAGACAACAGGCATAAGGAAACACATTGAAATGTTTCTACCCTGCCAGGAATCGAACCCGAGCCCTGTGTGTGTGAAGCGAGAGCTTTGTCAGCCAGGCCACATCACTAATAGGTTCTTCAAAACTGCGATTTTAAGCAAAACAATTATCATATGATTATCATATACTTTACAAATTTGTATTTTACAATAATTTGTATCAACGTTATAACAAAATGACATTGAACAAAACAACATTATTTGATGACCTGCTGTACAATTAGGTTAGTTTACTAGCATCTATGGTTTGCAAAATTTCACAGTTTATATACTGTAACAATCTGGTTTATTATCATGACATTTTGAGATCTTGTGTAGTAATTTGGTATAACATTTATACTGGTGAATATGTAATGGGGTAGAATTAGATGAAAACTTCAATACAAGAAGAAAATCAAGTGCTACTGAATCAGTGTTAGATCATACTTAGTAACATCTTTAGTACATCATTAGGGAAGTAAGGCAACTATATCTACAGGTTTCATATATGCGGTTTTAATCACTGTATATTTATTTATAAACAAACTGCATTTTTTGTTTTCAGCTTGCTTTATCTTCATTAAAACTCCTGATAATCAAGATCGATTAAAGGGCATAAACTGATTAATAAACATGACATTTGCTGCACTCCTGCAGCAGCCACAAAGCACATACAGATAAAATTCCTAAACTGCATGAAAACCAAGAGAATATGTCAATTTAACTAATTTTGGTTTGCAGATTTAGAACTAATCTGTACAGAATGTTCTAGGTGTAAATTATGAAGAATCTTTCTTGCCTACATTCCAAGGAGTACAGTGTGAGGGATTTCTAGCATTCCCAGTAATTCAGGTGCTTGACTGAATTTACATAGGCAGAATAAAAGAATTTTGCAAAAGAATGATTATCTGATGTAAAGAGAACACTTAAATAAAATTTATATCTTTACAATGTGATGAGGCATGATGACAAAGATGAAACTGTGACTTTAAGCGAAACCAATTTTACCACAGGCTAAGTGATATAAACGTCGGAGGTGCACAGTGCACCTTTAGCACTCAATGCAACAGGCTTAAATCAAAGAATAAATGTTTGAAAAGCAAAAATTGTAAGAAGCACTATCTACCACCACGCAGTTCAAAAATGAACATGCAAACTCCAGAGACAGCAGCCCCGGCCGGGAATCAAAACACGTTGAATGAAACAACAAAGTGAGGACTTACTGTACAGATGTAGCTCTAGAAACTACAGGCAACCTCCCTGCTGCCTGTAGTTTCTAGAGCTGTATCTGAGTTTGGTAGGACTGTGTTATACCAGTAATTATCTACAGGAAAGCCTGGCCCCAGGCTGGGCTGCCTGTACTGTAGAGGCGGGCACTGAAAACACAAAGTAATAAGCAACAATATTGTACTGTACTCACCCATAATAGGTAAAAGGATTCCCATGAGAAACACCACAACAGATCCCAGCAAGTAAACAATGAAATACACTCCAAGAATGAGGATTATAAGAGAAATTATGGGGTGGTCCTTCTTGAATGCAACAGCTGGTTGTTTATTATTTGTCAGATAGTAGAAAAGTCCAAAGGCTAGACCCACTGCTATCATGCCGCAGAACATCTTTGTAGGGTGTATCACACTGAAAATGAAACATTTTTCTGTTACAATATCTTGCATTAAAATGATAAATTATATACAAATGTGCAAAATAACCAAGTAACAACTTAATCATAAAGTAAATATTAATTACATTTATTTTAATCTATACACAGAAAACGTAACATTGTTAAAAAAAATAATGATTATGAATGCTGTATCACAAATGCTAAGGTGATTATCCAGATTACTTTCAAGTAGCTTGCTTACACTATTTAAGGAGGGTAAAACACCTGACAGATTTTAAAACTACAAATAATATACATATGGTACACTTAAGGAGCATATCTCCCAAATACAGTGGACCCTCGGTTATTGGCCGTCCAGGATATTGGCCAACTCTGTTATTGCCTGGTTTTTTGCAGAAATTTTATTCCAGTTATCAGCCGTTATTTCACTTATCGGCTGTACTGGACACGTCCACCCACTGCCCACCAGCCTCTCACACGTTTGTGAGTCAGTATGACTGTGTCTCTGGGCGAGTGAGGAAACTTCAGCTCATTCATCCAAACATTTCGGTATAATCCATTGTTTTTGTGGTTTTGAGCGAGTGCAACTGCGAAATAAGCAACCATGGCCCCAAAGAAAGTTCCTAGTAAAGTTCCTTTGGTAAAGAAAGTGAAAAACATGATGGAATTTAAGAAAGAAGTTGTTGAAAAGTATGAGAGTGGTGTTCGAGTGCTAGAACTTGGATGTACGGGAAATCCAAATCAACAATCACTTCCATCCTGGCAAAGAAAGTAGAAATCAAGGAAGCTAATGTTGCAAAGGGATTAAATGTTCTAATGAAACAAAGGTCACCAATAATGGAAGATATGGAGAAGTTATTGTTCTTGTAAATCACCGAAAAACAATTAGCAGGAGACAGTGATGTGGAGTTGATCATTGTGAAAAGGCAAGGCAGCTGCATGCGGATCTCGTAAAGAAAATGCCTGGAATGAGTGCTGCTGTTAGTTAATTTAGGGCCAGCAAAGGCTGGTTTGAGAGATTTAAGAAGCGTAGTGGCATACAGTGTTGTAAGGCATGGCGAGGCTGCAAGTTCTGACAAATGTGGGCTGAAAAATTTGTACATGAATTCAAGGAGTACACAGAGGCTAAAGGATTCCTCTCCCAACAAGTGTTCAGGTGTGACAAAACAGGCCTCTTTTGGGAGAAAATGACAAAGAGGACCTACATCACGCAGGAGGAAAAGATACTGCCTTTTCCTCCTGCGTAATGTAGTGGAGATTTCAAAGTGAAGCCTTTACTCATGTATCACTCTGAAAATCCCAGAGTGTTCAAGAAAAACAATATCATCAAGAGTAAATTGTGTATGATGTGGAAAGCTAATAATAAGGCATGGGTCATGTGGCAAATTTTCAAAGAGTGGGTCCATGATGTGTTTGGCCCCAGTGTGAAAAAATACCTCGTGGAAAATAAATTGCGACTCAATTGCCTCCTGGTACTGGACAATGCTCCTGCTCATCCTCCAAACTTGGAAGACTAATTGTTTAGGGACTTCCATTTCATAACAGTGAAGTTCTTGCCTCCTAACACCACTCCTCTCATTCAGCCCATGGACCAGTAGGTCATTTCTAACTTCAAAAAACTCTTCAAGAAAGCAGCGTTTCAAAGGTGCTTTCAAGTAACCTCGGACACTGACCTGACCCTAAGAGAGTTCTGGAGGAATCACTTCAATATCCTCCACTGCATAAGCCTTATAGGTAAGGCTTGGCAAGGAGTGACTTCCAGGACTTTGAACTCTGCTTGGAGAAAATTGTGGCCAGAATGTGTCCTCAACAAGGATTTTGAAGGGTTTGGGACTGACCCTGAGGACCCTACTCCTGTTGTGGAATGTACTGTGTCTTTGGGGAAGTCCATGGGATTGGAGGTTAGTGCCAGGATGTGGAAGAGTTGGTGGAGGACCACAGGGAACAGCTAACCACTGAAGAGCTACAAGACCTTCATCTGCAACAGCAACAGACCACAGCTGAAGAAATTGCTTCAGAAGAGGAGGAAGAGAGAGGGGAGAAGGTGCCTTCTTCAGTGACTAAGGACATTTGTGCAAAGTGGAATGAGGTGCAAACTTTTGTGGAGAAACATCACCCTGACCTAGCTGAAACAAGCCATATCTGCAACATGTTCAGTGACAAAACCTTGTCCCACTTCAAGGAAATCTTAACCCTTTCAGGGTTCGTGCTGTAGATCTACGGCTATACGTTGAGGGTCCAAACCGTAGATCTACGCCAAAATTCTAGCGGCGTCAAATTTAGTGCGAGAAGGCTGGTAGGCCTACATTTGAGAGAACGGGTTTGCGTGGTGTGTGTGCACCATAAACAAAAATTCTAGGTACCCACATGGCATTGTGGGAACACCGCCTCAGTTACCTTTGTTCACCATGCCTCATCGCAAAGCAGCTCTCACTCCAAGGCAAATTGGGACTCTCCTCTTCCTATCTGATAGTTCTGACTCTGATGCAAGTGGAAATGAAGAGGAATTCTATGGCTTTGATCAGTTAGTGACCGAAAGGAATGACCAGGATATCAAAAATAGTGCAGAAAATCCTGACGATCCTCAACCTTCTACCTCTGGTGTGGGCACATCTCAGTCACGTTCAGTTGTACCTCGTCACAAGAGAAAACTAATATTTTCACATGGCCAGGCCTCAGACTTCAGTAATGATGATGATAGTGATGTGGATTGTGATTTTATTGCTCTTGACGATCATTCAAGTGGTGATAGTGAGAAATCGTATTCACCAGCGAAGCGTCAGTATATACACCGCCGCATGCGCTTGGGCAGTGTTCCCTATGCAGTGCCCAGGGGACGGAGTACATCCCGGAGTACATCCCATGGCCCTACACCAGGAATAGACAGTGAAAGTGAGGATGATGTGGCTACACTTGGCATGGATAGACCACAGGCATCAGTAGGTGGTGGTATTGGTGGTGATGGAGGTAGTGGTGATGGTAGCACCATGGGTATGCATGACTCACCAGCCCAGGCTGGGACCCACGCCGCTGACTCCTCAGCTCAAGGACAAAGCGGAGCGTCAGCCACCACACCACCACAACTACCACCACAACCAGCTTATGATGTCCAGTATCCACCAGCAAACCGTATCTGGGATTGGCAGCAAAATCCCAATTTTGTTCCCAAACCCCACCACTTTGATGACTCTCAGTGGAATTCTACCAACTTGTTCCCTTGGAAACCCTGCAAATGAACTGGAATTCTTTGAACTATTCTTTGACCAGCCCTTGATGGAAACTATTGTCAGGGAAAGTAACAAGTATTTTGAGTACACCATGGCAAATATGATCATATCACCACAGTCAAGACTACACCGGTGGAAAGAGACAACTGTTGCTGAAATGTATTTGCTTTTTGCAACAATAATGCTTATCTCTCATGTCTACAAGCATAATATAAAATCATACTGGTCCACAGATCTGCTAATTTGTACCCCGGCCTTCAGTGAAATCATCCCAGTGAACAGGTTTACCTTATTGTTACATATGTTGCACTTCTCTGACAAAACCAGGCCTGACAGAAGTGACAGGTTATACAAGATTAGAAATGTTTTTATGTATCTGAACAAAAGTTCAACATTCAAAGGTAGACTGTCATTCAAGCAGTATATACTGAGCAAGAAGAAACGCTTTGGTATAAAACCGTTTGCACTTTGTGACTGTGACAGTGGCCTGGTATTGGATATTATTGTATACACGGGAAGTAAAACATTGAAAGATACCAGGATGTTATTGGGTATCTCAGGTGACATAGTGAGAAACATGATCACACCTTATCTTGGTAAGTGGCATACATTATATACTGATAACTGGTACACAAGCCCTTTACTCAGCGATTTCTTGTGAGTGAACATGGCAGATGTGTGTGGCACAGTGCATTTTAATCGTAAACATATGCCCAGGTTCAACGCAGGCACTCGTAGTGGTGAGGTGCAGGTGTTTGCTGCCAATGACATCATGGCATTACGGTGGCATGACAAACGAGATGTCACATTGTTGACAACCATTCACCCTAACAAAATACAAAACAGTGGCAAAGTTGATAGAGTAACTAATGAACGTATTCGAAAACCAATGACAGCGATTGACTATACACAAAACAAGCATTTGGTTGACAAATGTGACATGTAAATAAGGTTTGATGATTGTGTTCGTAAGAGTTACAAGTGGTACATGAAACTTTTCTTCCATCTCATGGACATTTCAATGCTCAATGCATATAATATGTACCAAATAAAGACCAGCAACAGACCACTGTATGGTGAATTTTGTTTGTCTGTTGTCAGACAACTCATAATGAAGTACCAGGTAACAACACCTGCTATACAAAACCGTCCTTGAACTCCTCAGGGAATGCCCAAGCATTTGAGGAGGGAAAGTGATCACTTCATAATACAGCTTCCCGCAACTAAGAAATTTGCTCAGAAGAGATGTGTTGTGTGCACAAACAAAACAACGGCAACAAAGACGCAAAGACACTCGCTTTATGTGTGAGGAATGTAAGGCACCTCTGTGCATGATACCTTCTTTCAAGGACTTCCACAAGCTGCAGCAGTTCTAAAAACATGTCCAGTGAGTATATATGTAAATATATAATAGAACATTAGTATTATACAAGATTTGTGCACGTTTATTGTAGTAAACAATAGTGGTAAACAATATTATAATAACTTTAGTGCAGTTATTGTGTTCAATACAGTAAGTGTATATATATATATATACAAAGTAACATTTATGAAGGGATTCAGGGAAACCGGCAGGCCGGACTTGAGTCCTGGAGATGGGAAGTACAGTGCCTGCACTCTGAAGGAGGGGTGTTAATGTTGCAGTTTAAAAACTGTAGTGTAAAGCACCCTTCTGGCAAGACAGTGATGGAGTGAATGATGGTGAAAGTTTTTCTTTTTCGGGCCACCCTGCCTTGGTGGGAATCGGCCGGTGTGATAATAAAAAAAAAATAAAAATATATATATATTATATAAAATATTATATATATATATATATATATATATA